ACCTCTAGTGATGCACCAAACCTTCGAGAATGTGTCGGAACCTCAGAATGAGAGGGAGAAGACACAAAAGTGCAGCAAGTAGTGATAACGCCTAATATAAGGCTCAAACTATCAGACTCAAGTCTGCTATTCCAGTCTACAAGGAGCTAAGTCATCCGAACAACGTCGGCAGCAAGTCAAGGCTATCCAGCCCACACGGGTCATAAGTCTAAGGCAATGCTAGCCTAACTTAGACTAAGGACATCATGCTTACGGTTAAGGATGAACAAAGCATACAATACATTTAGCACATAAGCATGCAACTCTACTAAACCGGTTAACATGATACTATACTCGAAATGTGGCCAATCGATCCTAACATGAGGTATCTAATCAAAGTAACGTAGTAAACTGGTACCCACCCCCAATTCACTCAAATCGACATCTTTTTACACAATTAAACTCAATCTAAAAGAAAGGAAGCCGTAGCCTACCTTAAGGCCGATCGCACGCTCTCCAAATCACTTTACCAGAGCTTTTTCTTCCCAAACGACCTTTGAACGCTGTCACTCTATCAAATATAGGGTCACAACATTAGTACGGTCGTTTAGACACCAAAATCACAACAAACGGAGAAGGGTCAATTTTGGAGTCAAAACGGGAATCGTGGGACCCGCACCGAACTGTTCGAATTTGACTACGTCAAGAGACCCTAAACAGCATCCCAAACTTATGTTCCAAAATGGAACACAATTCGAGGTTCAAAACATAGCAAAAACCAACAAGCAAGAAACCACACTTTAATCAACTAAAAAAAAGAAAGCAGCAGCAATCCAAACTCGGAATAAACGAGAATCAAAAGGTGCCCAGCAACTCTTTGAACACTCTACGACGAAGTCTTGAAAATTCTCAACATGTGGGACTTCGAATCACCCAAAACCGAGCTAAAATGAGAGAGATATGACCAAAACAAGAATGCCAAAAACAAAGGCTCGAAAAAAGAATACAACAGTCAGGTAAATCGCGAAATTACCTCGAACTACGTGCACCCAACAACTTTCGAACACTCTACGGCAAAGCCACCGAAAATACGAAGCTCCCGCATTTCGAATCACCTAATTTGGACAAAAGATGAGAGAGTTATGAGAGTTTGAAGATTTGGAAAATGTTGCTGTTTTTCTGCATTAAATAGCAGATTTGCTGCAATTTTTTCCAAAACTAAAAACTCCGACGGGGTGCTCCGAACTCATTCGAAATCCCGTACAGGCAAACGAGATATGCAACCATACCAAATTCGATATTCCTAACTCAGCGGCATAGTCAAAATTTCCATCAGAGGTCATCTCGATAAAAAGTGGGTCCCACTTTCAAAGGCCATTTTAAGTCATAAACCACAAAAGGGCTCGAAAAGATATCGAAAACCTCGGGACACAAAAGAAGGGTCAAACTAGACCAAACTCGACATTTCGAAGCTAACCGCGCTGACGAAATTCTCATCCGAGCGCGCTTACTCAGAATGTTGACCAAAGTCAAACTTAGGCTTAAACTTAAAGTTAAAACGCCTAATCGCACCGACTCACACTGAAAACCTCGGGAGTCATGTCGACCATGCTACTTACCTAAAATGACCCTTTCGGAGCTGATGAAATCGTCAGAATTGGATTCCGATGTCATCTTCTTGAACTTTTGATCGAAAATGATTGTTCAAGGTTCATAAGCTCCAAAACACAAAAACTCGCACCAAGACCAAACGAACGACCAGGTGACCGAACTGTCAGTCCCAGCAAGTCATAAATGACTTGGGGTCGCTACATGAACGCTCTAAACGACACATAGAAGGCAAGACACAGAAATGACCTGGAGGGTCATTACAATAAGAGTATATATATATATGTTGTAGTATCATTAAAGTTTCTTGTTCAGATATTATTCACTAGTCAATGATAATATAATTGTCAGAATCTGTTGGTTACAGGATTAGCTAGCGAGTACTTTAGTTTGGGTGCCATCACATACCCACCCCGGCGTGACAATTCACTTCAATGTAGAAGTCAAAGATCTATTAACCTCACGATCACAGAATAACTACTTGCTCTGGAGGAAGATATATATACGTTTAATTGTTTTTTGACCCCTCCCTAACAGTATCAAATACGTTACGTTCTCTCCTTTCAATAAACTAATCACTTAAACAAGCAGAAAAAGATCGACCAGGAAAAGGGAACGTTGCATGAAAATATATGTGTACTCCATTAAAAATACTAACTGCAACTTAATATAGTTATACTTAGGGGTGACAATTTCAGCCTATATTAATGGGATTCGGCTCCCCTCCATTACCCCTTCCCTCCATTTCGTCAAGTGCACCCCTAGATAAGTGACACGTGTCTTATTTAAAGTTTAAAGGTCAAGATTATATTATATTAACAAATATCATAAACATAGTTAAGTCAACTAATTTTTAGAAAAACTACTTTTACTAAAATTTTGGTAAAAATTACAATATATTTCATACAAAATTTAATATTTATTAATAGCATAATTTCATCTTATATTTTTATATTTAAATCTTAAAATTGTTGAACATGAAACGTTTATATTTAATGTGATAAATAATAATCTTCAAAAATATTTGCATTTAAAACAATGTTCGCTTTTATTTGAAAATATATATATATATATAAGAATATTTTAAGAAAACGTAGATTTTTTTCCCTTCAAACGTACAATAACCACATTTTCTCCTTGGAATAATTTTGATATCGTTTAATTCTAAAAACCTTGTCTTTTTATTTTTTATTTTTGTTTCGTGTCTTTTATTGTATGGTTTTTTTTCAACATTGATAATTCTTCAAAAAAAAATTCTCAACGTAGTATAATATTTCAAGAATAAAGTTTACTAATACAGAAAATTATTTAGTTGATTCTCACCTTAAAGGATCCTTAAATATCATAAACTTTAATATTTAAATATAAAAATATAAAATGAAATTAATAAATATTAAATTTTGTATGGAATATATCGTAATTTTTACCAAATTTAGAAAGTAGTTTTCTAAAATTAGTTGACTTAACTATGGTTATGATATTTGTTAATATAATATAATCTTGACCTTTAAACTTTAAATAAGACACGTGTCACTTATCTAGGGGTGCACTTGACAAAATGGAGGGAAGGGGTAATGGAGGGGAGCCGAATCCATATTAATGAAATGAGTCCATTTTGTCCATATTTAATGACTTGGATCACTCATATTTTAATTGGTTAAATATGAGCTTCGAGCTATTTTAAGAGTTTCTACAAATATGGTCAAAATGAGTTAAATATGAATACGTATTCATATTGACTCATAATAGATCACTTAGTTTTCACTTCCACTCAAAATTCTTAATTGTGCTAAAAAATAAATAATTTAATATTAATTTTCAAAAATTCAATTAATTTTCAAACTTAATTGTAAAAACAGATTTTTTTGTTTTGTTTTTGGAAAACAAAAAAAAAATTAGGGGTAGGTTGATGGAAGGGGGTACCCTGCGGGTTGGGGGTGCCCAGGGGAGGGGGTAAATTTTTTTTTTGTTGAAAAAACATATTTTTTTTATTTAGGGGTCGGTTGGTGGAAGGTGGGGGGGTGGGGGTTCCCGAGGAGG